CGCTGCTGCAGGTGCTTATTAAGTGCTTAAAATAAGCTATTCTAAATTAACACAAATAATAATGGGCATTTACATTCTAAACGCAGTAGTCGAATCCGAAGCAAAGAAAATTCAGATTTGTATATGGAGTGCGCGTTATTTGAGATATGAATACAGTAGTTGTTTCACGAAAATGCAGCAAAAAGTCTATAAGATATCTAATTTTTTAAATGAATCAATAAATTCCAATTTTCTTAACATAACATTGAAACTCGGCGGCGAAGCCGCCCACATTGGTTTGCCAGTTATAATTATTAAAACACAGAACTATCACTATATTTTAATTTGATAAACGATTTTTATCTGTTTTACAAAGCTAAAAAATGCTGACAATGTAATATAAAGTTTTCTTCTCCTAATTTATTCTACTTAAATTCATTTTATTATACTGTATTAATTTAATTGGTAAGCGAAATTCTTCATTAATCGATGTATCTAATAAGGTCTTGTTCATATCACACCAAGTCTTTTATTAGTTACTTTATTTAATCGATATGGTAAAAGATCCCTCATCAATTGGCACGTTTTAACTACGTATTTGAATTTAATATCATTTATTATTACACTATAACTCTTATTTGGTTTAATTTTATTCACATTAATTAATCAATAAGTGTAAGAGCTTTTATTAATCATTATATTTGCCTATTTAGTTCATAACATTACTATTTCTTATTGAGTTTCGTTTTTTCCTTTTGTCTTTTTAATCAGTATAAGGGTTGCATGCAAAAAAAAAAAAGAAAGACATATAGGTCGTTTAAAACAATCATTGTTTTACTATTTTATAAATATAAATAGTTTAATTTTAAATGTCAACATTGCGTTTTAACTTGAGGATTTATATTTATGATATCTTTGATTATTAAATATAATCATTAAAACCTTTAAAGGTTAAGGAAAAAAAGTGGAAAATTAATAAACCAACAAATATTGTTAAGTTTTTTTTTTTTTGCTAACTTGATGCTTATTAATTAGCTCAATATAGATGTTCCTCGTCATTTTTCAATTTATGTCAATTATTAATTGACGTAAATTAAGAAATGGTTTAAATCGATATGCATTTGTCGACTAATAGAAAAATAAAAAAATAAATAAAATAAAATAATACAAAATAAAAAAAAATTAGTCGGTAAGACAACTAAATCGACTTATATTAACTTAAAGCACTATAATCTTTGCTCAGTAAATAATATTAAATCTTGAGAATCGGAATTCAAGTTTTTCTTAATAAAATCAGAATAATTAAATATATCGCTAATAACGAACTCTTTTGGGAATCGTGCTGACTTTTCATTATTTTCCGAAGGTGTATTTAAAAGTCTAAAAAGATCATCTAAAAAGAAATTTTCGATTTCTTCATTTTTAGCATCAGCAAAATATTCACTAATTTTCTCTATACTTGGAATTTTCGTTGTTCCTTCTCCGTCTTTGAGGAGTTTACCCGTATAATCAAGTGCCATTCCCCATAAATGAATGATACTGTTAGCAATTTCTAGTCCAGTGGGTCGCATTTTTGGATCAGAATCCCAGCATCGAATCATTAGTTCGGTGTATGCAGCTGGAGTGCGTTCT